GCTAAAGAAGTTTTACTTCAGTCGTGTGGTCATAAGCACACTCGTTTTTTTTACTAATTGTTTTTTTTTGTTTTTACAAAAGATTCTAGTGGAATGAGATGTTGTTGTGTTACGTTACAGTATGTTTCGTAAAAGTTCGCGCTCAAAGTAAACATTGCGAAATGACAATTTCTACGCTATGAACAAGCAAAACTTTATGAGGCGAATAATTTATACCAGTATAATAACAAGTAGGCTAATACGCTATTAGGCTGTGATAAAGCAATCGTAAAACGACACTCCTTGCTATCACTACTTTCTATTTTATATTATAAGTAATATTATATCGAGACATATGTAGCCGGTGGCGAATTTAAAGGAAAACAATATGCAAATTTTCAAATTATTAGGTAAAAGCGATCGTAGTGAGAGAAAACGTCGGTGTAAGAGAAATGTCCGCAACCTTTCGAAAATTTCCTTCTTTAACTGCCTTACTTAATGCAGTGAAGCCTTGTCGACAATGCCTCAACTCGCTTGCGTAACTTCAACGAATTAATTCTTTCTTACCATATTGAGCTAGTGAGTGAGCTTAGTTCTGGTTCCTCGCACTGGTCTCTTGTCTTTTTACAGAATCAAGATGACAAACAAACACAGTCCTCGTGATGGTAAGTGGATGCTGTGTCCCATAGACATGTACCTCTATCCTCGATTGAGAAACATATTGAAAAACGTTATCACCCTGAGGAATGAGATAGAATGCTTCGTTTCTATTAAAAGAGGACTCCTGTTCTCTATACTCGTTATAAGAAACACAGCAGCATTAAGCTACTATTTCGGGCTAGCATTCTGCAAGAGCGTGGTGTTCTCCAATCAAGATGACCTATTCGTGGTACAATTATATCTCTGTAGTGTAGCTCTATGTCTAGCTAATGTACGGCGTTACACATATTGTCTGTGAAATTCGAGTTCGGTATTAAGAATATAAATAAACAACTGTATGTCGGTCGCGTGGTATACGTTGGGAGTAATGTAGTTTAAAATCAAACATTCTAAATTAAAATAGAACATAGATTATATTCATATAAGTTTAATACATTTTATGCGGTAACGTTTTTAAGTTTTGGCTAACCCTAGGAATAGATAGATAGATAGAAAATGTAGTGTGGAGAGTACTATGGGTAGTGCCGCGAGAGAAAAACTAAGTTACGGAGGAATGACGAATAACTTTACTTTAGAAACGCTTTTGACGGAAAAGACCCACTTCTTTTAAGGACTGATGACGAAAAAATAACTCTGTAGAAAATGTAATGGACGTTCGCTTAAAGTTCGCAAAATTGACTACAACATAAGTATTCCAGCGAGGACTTATGGATATTACGTCTCTATTTCAATAAGGAACTGATTTTGTTTGTTTTTGACGTATTGCATTGTCTTACCTGTTATATAAATTTTAATTTATTAATTTATATTAACAATGACCCGTGTGAAGTCTGCCAAAACGCAATGGAGCAACGTGTTGGACTCTTCGACGTTATATAATATTGTAGTATTACCTAAACATAGCTGAATTTATGTAAATTGCGAAATAATCTCTTTTTATCTCTGAACTACTTTAACGTGAACTGTTACAGAGAGCCTTAAGTCCGCATATATGCTTTTAAGTTTATACGAAGTTAAATATATAAATAAAATGAGAACATAGTAAATCTAAATTTGTCATTATATAAGCTGTGTGAAGTGGTAAACAGTGCTTTATTTACTTGTATTATAAGTTTAGATTTCATTTTCATCACAAGACGATACATAAAGACATAGGAATAATTATATCATCATCATCATCATCATCATTACAGCCCTTCACAAGTCCACTGCTGAACATAGGCCTCCCCCAAGTAATGCCACAAAGCACGGTCCTGAGCCACCTGCATCCATCGACTTCCTGCATGTCTTACCAGGTCGTCACTCCATCTAGTGGGGGTCGCCCTACACTACGCCTACCGGTACGAGGCTGCCACTCGAGAACCTTTCTTCCCCATCGGTTATCGGTTCTTCGAGCTATATGGCCGGCCCATTGCCACTTCAGCTTACTAATCCGTTGGGCTATGTCGTTCACTCTGGTTTTACTGCGGATATCCTCATTTCTGAGTCTATCACGCAGAGAAACTCCTGACGCATGATGTATTTGGGGCCAACTGGAGCCGAGGACGCCTCTAGCTTCGCTGGGGCGACTGAGTTGGACGACTTGGGAGGCATCATCGGCATGACAGTACTGCAAGCCCTAGTAAGGACAGCCTAGTGCAACTGTGTGGGGGGGTGTGGGGTAATTTACGGCAGACTATTCTATGTAATTCGATAATAATATGGTATGTCCAAATCACTGGGCAATAAAAACTCAACCCGCTGTGCGATTATGTAACTCTAGTGAGATTCGTTTACCAGTGGCTATCAATTCTCTCATCAATTGCGGTATTTTTTTCACTATGGTAATATTTTTAATGTAAAATAAGATATTAATTAATATTAAAATGAAATAAAATTAAATTTACATATATTAACAAAATAAAACATCAAATTAAGAACGAAGCTAACCACAGTTCCTACCAGAATTCTCATTAAAGACTGAAAACTGATGTGGTAGGCCATGGTTCAGCTATATTATGTTGTGGCACGAATGAGCCGGCTCGTCCGGGGAAGGTCACGCTCTCACCGAATACCAGCAAAAATAGCAGCTTTTTGCTGCTGTGTTTCGTATGATGGATGAGTGTAGAGAACCGGAGACCCTTTTTTTAATGAAAAGGAGCATTGCATTTCGAATCGTAATCGATGTTTTTTATGCACCACAGCCTCAAGTTTCAAGGGGACTGTATGTTCGTATGCTCCCTTATTTATTAAAAATAATAGTTACGAAATACGTGTAAAAATAGAGATAATATATGATAGCTGTTAATCTATTTCAAAGATTTATTAAAAATTTATTCTGTCAGTTATATTTCTACAAGTTGGCTTTTACAAAAGAAAACAGATTTTCTGTTTGTCACTAAGCAAACCCTACATTTACGTAGCTATCTCCACTTCAATACGACGCCATGAAAAGGAAAGTGAGCAAAAAAATGTAGGCTGGTTTTTTAAGCAGGCGACTCCACACATAATTATTCCGTGAATTATTTTATATGTGCACTTTAATCAGAACGCGACTAACAGCCCATTAAACCGACTGTAGAAAGTGAACAGACGTTATTAAAGAACAACCAGCTGCGAATATATTAGGTTATGTTAATTTTAAAAATTAAACAAAGATTTGAAAAGTTAAATTTAAGAGTTTGTTACAAAATTTAGTTCGATGTAGACACAATATTAGAGATTTACTCGTAATCAAGTAAAAGTAGTTCATTTTTGTATCACTTATATAACAGGTATTATTTACATATATCTAGAAATAAGCACTACCTGCCACAGGCCACTGACGCGTTGTCATCTCTGAGGACGAACATGAAATGCCTAAAAGCAGCAGCCTTAGCTCTCTGTTAGCCGTTTAACCGGAATACGGCAGTGCAAGCTTTGCTATTCAGCACCAGAAATAGGTAAGAGTGTGGTGTGATGATGACCCAGGCAGACTCCTAGACCGTAAAATACCACGTTGTAAAGTAGTGGTTTGGTGGGGTATGTGACAAACGATGGTAAGGAGATGCTGATTGATATTCTCAATCGATTTCTATCTGTGACTTATTATTGTTTTCAAGTTCAGATCAAAAGATATTCTCATCAGATCAACAGATATGTTTAGATATTCTCGATCGATTTGTATCTGTGACATATTATTGTTTTCAAGTTCGGATCAAAAGATATTCTCATCAGATCTACAGATATGTTTAGATATTCTCGACCGATTTGTATCTGTGACCTGTTATTGTTTTCGAGTTCAGATGAGAGAACTACGATTGTCTCTGTATCCCTTAGACTGCACAAAGGTGTTAATTACAGCTTGGAAAATTCGTTGCGATTTATTTTATGAAAATAGATTTTTGACGCAATTTTATGTTACATCTCAGCGACATCGCATTTTATATTTTATTTATTTACTTTACCTTTTAAACATGTTTAAGTATTTAAACATGTTGAAAGGGGTATTTATATTTTCTTTTGGATTATATTATTTATGTAAGAAATTATTTTAGTACCTTTGACAAAATGTGTGATGCCCACAGAAATCTAATTAGATTTCTGTGGTGATGCCCATAACTTTAACACGTGCAATAAACCTAAACTTGCCGTCCCAAAGTGGAGGTTCTAAAAACTAGCGGCTCGTTTTTGAGTGGATGTATATACATCTTAGTTATATAACTATTTATAACAATACCCCCTGTATTCTGTAAAATGCCTTTGCATAAAAGCATTTTTATAAAAAAAAGAATAATATAAATTAGATGATTATTTAGAGCTAAGAATGCGTGGACATAATGAGATAAGCCTTTTGTTCCTCAGATATGTTATATTTTATAAGGTTTAAATTTTAGCTGTTGAGAGAAAATGTCTACTTCTGAGCTTCTTGTCATTTCTTTTCAATAGTTCTCTCTCATTAGAGACTTCTTGAAGTGATGGTGTAAAGAATTTAATGTTCTAAAAGTATTTTGTAAAGGGTAATTTTGAATAAAAATACTTCGCCATTGACTTTGACTATACCTTTTATATACATAGCACAGCAGAATTTACTACCTGATATCATCCCTTGGGTTTCGTAGGAGGCGAAAGAGAGAATTAAAGTAGGGGATGGGTTGCAGCATCGTCCTGATAGAGATCATCTAATTTAAAACTGCACGCGTCTTGTATTTGGTAGTTACTGTCACATTTACCACATTAAGTACAATAAAATCTAAATCCTCTCGCCAATTCTAGTTTGTATTAGTAGTTTTTAGCAATTTTACTATATTTTACACGATAAAATGATAAAGGAAGGCACGTGCAGTTCTAAATTAGACAATCTCAAACAGCTCAAAATAATAAAGAAATTTGCGATTACTTGCCTAGCCTGCCGCGCAGCTCAGAGGGTCTGAGCGCGGGCTCCTCGAGCACGGCGGGCGGCGGCGCGGGTGGTGCGGGTGGTGCGGGTGGTGGGGGCGGCGGTGGTGGTGCCTCGTCGCAGGAGCTGCCGCCCGATGACACGCCAGAAGAGGCAGACGCCGGTGTGGTCACCACCTCGTCCGAAACAGACGCGCGTCGGCTGCCCGCCGCCGATGAGATGCGGCTGGCCTGTTGGGGAACCTTATTAAGGAGTCTTATTAAGAGGCTAGGGTGGACTAGTAGACGGTGGAGAAGTATAAGAGGTGGGTGGAGAGTGGTTTTTAGTAATTTTTTTATATAGGAATGGGTGACAAACGAGCACACAGTCAGGTGGACTGTGTGCTCGTATGGTAAGTGGTTGCTGTAGCCCATAGACATCTATCCTCGATTATGAATCAAAATGCAGATGCGTTGTCACCCGTGAGGAGTAAGATGGAATGCCTCGTTTCCAGTAAAAAGGGTATCCGGTTCTCTACACTCACCATACGAAACACAGCTGCATTAAGGACGCGTTTACAAAATGGATAGGTATAGAATCGCACTACTACATTGACAAAAGTCACACACACACTAGTGTACGCACGGTTGGCTGTGGGAATCGTAGTCAAATGAAATTATTTTGATAATTTGAAAGATTGAATTTGTTTTTCATTTCTTATACCTACCTCAGAAATATACTTCGATACGAAATATGAATACCTGCTCCAAAGACTGCTTGGCACTGGAAGCCCTCTACTGGTAGTGAGATGTTAGCTCTGGACTTTGAACTGGTTTTGTCAGTTATAATAAGACCTTACCTACCTGCGGACTTGATGGAGTGACCTGAAGGTGTAATTTGGTGATTACAACAATAGGAACTCCTAGACTAGTGGAACTAGGTGTGCCGAGTTTGGGTTCGTTTTGTTGGTTATGATGAGACCTTACCACCGGACTTGATGGAGTGACCTGAAGGTGTAATTCGGTGATTACAAGTGGAACTCCTAGATTAGTAGAACTAGGTGTGCCGAGTTTGGGTTCGTTTTGTTAGTTATGATGAGACCTTACCACCAGACTTGATGGAGTGACCTGAAGGGGTAATTCAGTAACTACTGCTGGAATTTCTGAACGAGTAGAACTAGGTGTGCCGAATTTGGGCTCCGTTTTGTTAGTTATGACGAGTCCATACCTCCGGACTTGATGGAGTGACCTGAAGGTGTAAATCGGTGATTGCAACTGGAACTCCTAGACTGGTGGAACTAGGTGTGCCGAGTTTGGGTTCGTTTTGTAGGTTATGATGAGACCTTACCACCGGACATGATGGAGTGACCTGAAGGTATAGTTCGGTGATTACAAGTGGAACTTCTAGACTTGTAGGACTAGGTGTGCCGAGTTTGGGTTCGTTTTGTTAGTTATGATGAGACCTTACCACCAGACTTGATGGAGTGACCTGAAGGTGTAATTCAGTAACGACTGCTGGAATTTCTGAACCAGTAGAACTAGGTGTGCCGATTTTCACTCCATCAAGTCCGGTGGTAAGGTCTTATCGTAACTAACAAAACGAAACCAAACTCGTCACACCTAGTTCTACTAGTCTAGGAGTTCCATTTGTAACCACCTGATTACACCTTCAGGTCACTCAATCAAGTCCGGTGGTAAGATCTCATCGTAACTAACAAAACGAACCCAAACTCGGCACACCTAGTTCTACAAGTCTAGGAGTTCCACTTGTAATCACTGAACTACACCTTCAGGTCACTCCATCAAGTCCGGAGGTATGGACTCGTCATAACTAACAAAACGAAGCCCAAATTCGGCACACCTAGTTCTACTCGTTCAGAAATTCCAGCAGTAGTTACTGAATTACCCCTTCAGGTCACTCTATCAAGTCCGGTGGTAAGGTCTCATCGTAACTAACAAAACGAACCCAAACTCGGCACACCTAGTTCTACCAGTCTAGGAGTTCCAGTTGCAATCACCGATTTAGACCTTCAGGTCACTCCATCAAGTCCAGAGGTATAGACTCGTCATAACTAACAAAACGGAGCCCAAATTCGTCACCCCTAGTTTTACTCTGCAAGAAGTTCAAATAGCGGTCACGAAAGTACACCTTCAGGTCATGCCATCAAGTCCAGAGGTAAGGTCTCATCATAACCAACAAAACGAGCCCAAACTCGGCACACCTAGTTCCGCTCGTCCACGAGTTGCAGTAGTAGGTAAGTTTATATATCCTACTTATTTTTAGCTAAATAAAAACTGTGAGTATAAAAATAATAATTTTATCACTTGTCAAGTACTTATGTTTCCAATTTGTTTTTTTCTAATATTTTGTGTATGTACAGCGATCTTTTCAGAATGAGCCGCTGCAAACAGGCGATACAGTGTCCACTCACGACGGCGGCCGAGCGCGGACTGTGGTTTCATCGAAATCTTTGTACAATAAATCAAAGCAGGCACCAACAATAAAATAGCCCTTATTGCAATACATTATGATTCATCCGTATTACCAAAATATGTGAAAAAATGTGCATCAGTTTTTATTTTTTTTACGACTATTTGTGACATTTTGTTAAAAAATAAACTCTTATCGTAACTAACAAAACGAAACCAAACTCTTCACACCTAGTTCTACTATTCTAGGAGTTCCATGTGTAACCACCTCATTACACCTTCAGGTCACTCAATCAAGTCCGGTGGTAAGATCTCATCGTAACTAACAAAACGAACCCAAACTCGGCACACCTAGTTCTACAAGTCTAGGAGTTCCACTTGTAATCACTGAACTACACCTTCAGGTCACTCCATCAAGTCCGGAGGTATGGACTCGTCATAACTAACAAAACGAAGCCCAAATTCGGCACACCTAGTTCTACTCGTTCAGAAATTCCAGCAGTAGTTACTGAATTACCCCTTCAGGTCACTCTATCAAGTCCGGTGGTAAGGTCTCATCGTAACTAACAAAACGAACCCAAACTCGGCACACCTAGTTCTACCAGTCTAGGAGTTCCAGTTGCAATCACCGATTTAGACCTTCAGGTCACTCCATCAAGTCCAGAGGTATAGACTCGTCATAACTAACAAAACGGAGCCCAAATTCGTCACCCCTAGTTTTACTCTGCAAGAAGTTCAAATAGCGGTCACGAAAGTACACCTTCAGGTCATGCCATCAAGTCCAGAGGTAAGGTCTCATCATAACCAACAAAACGAGCCCAAACTCGGCACACCTAGTTCCGCTCGTCCACGAGTTGCAGTAGTAGGTAAGTTTATATATCCTACTTATTTTTAGCTAAATAAAAACTGTGAGTATAAAAATAATAATTTTATCACTTGTCAAGTACTTATGTTTCCAATTTGTTTTTTTCTAATATTTTGTGTATGTACAGCGATCTTTTCAGAATGAGCCGCTGCAAACAGGCGATACAGTGTCCACTCACGACGGCGGCCGAGCGCGGACTGTGGTTTCATCGAAATCTTTGTACAATAAATCAAAGCAGGCACCAACAATAAAATAGCCCTTATTGCAATACATTATGATTCATCCGTATTACCAAAATATGTGAAAAAATGTGCATCAGTTTTTATTTTTTTTACGACTATTTGTGACATTTTGTTAAAAAATAAACCCAGGGTTTTTTAATTGAATATGTCTGTCATCTTATAGTATTTTTTAAATTTTTTAAATATGTTGATAATAGACCAAAACATGTACCGAAACACAAGCCGGTATCGTTAATTTTGTAGAAAATGGCAACGAAAGTTCGTTTTTACAATATAAAAAACTACTATTTTCAACAAAAGAGTTACAGACATTTGCAGATGAAGAACCAATCTATACATGGTAGTTTTTACTTATATTTGATTTGGTTTAGTTTTGTCACAAAATCTACCGAAAAACACCCTAATTTTGGTTGATTTGCAAACGCGTCCTTAAGCTACTATTTGACGCTGGTATTCTGTGAGAGCGTGGTCCTTCCCCGGTCGAGCCGACCTCTATGTTTTTAGTTAAATATATTTAGATTTTTCTATTGAAATTACTCTATATCTATTGGTAAAGTTTTATTATATTAGCCATAAGCTGATTACCCAGGACACACAGATAGACAAAAATTTTAAGAATGCTTGTTTATGGCCTAATAGAATACAATTGAGACCTTTGAGTTTAAAAGAAGCCAGTTCTTTCGATATTTCTTCGTTTGTACTTACAAAGTTCTGTGCCTTGTGGGTGAGCGCAGCTAATTTGGTAGCAATTGTGGACTTGGTCTGGTTATCTGGTGGCGGTGAGACTTCTTCGTATGCTTTGTTGCAACTGCACAGAAAGTAACATGTCACATTTCAATTATACAAAAAGTTTTTTTGCTAACGTTACGTCCACACTAGAATTTTTTCCTATGTTTTTAGAGACAATACATACATAAACTGCACTAAGAACAAACATGCTCAGACCTGGAGCAATTGGATGTAGTTAATCAAAAAGGATTCAACCCAAACTCTGAAATAATCTTTAGAGTTAACACTTCCATATAATAAAATACTGTTAAATAAAGACATCATTCTTTAAAAGCAAAAATACAAACAAGTCAAGTAAAACCATTGTCATCCAAACTTCAAACATCAAGTTTTTTCAAGTTTCAATACAGAAAGTATCTATTTGCGAGTTAGATCACTTTTGCATAATAATGTCCAATTATTGTTTGTAGAACATACAAATACTTGTTTCGTTCGGGTTCAAACCCGTGGAGCTCAGCGCCGCAATTCAATGTCACTGCGCCACTAAGCCAATTTTTAAATGATTATATAAATATTGCTGTGTGTTGTGCGTGCCAAAAGTGAAGTGACTATGTGACTATAGAATAATGCTAGAAACATCTTAAGGCTTACTATACAATAGAAAATCGATTACGTCAGACGTAAAATACCCAGACTGGCGACAGATAACAGCGTCAAAGTTGCCAGACGATTGGTACTGTGATCGTTAATCCACCCGCCAAGCGTTACGATTAAGACAAATCCTAACTACAACGGAAGAGGTCCAAGTCTAGCTTGTATGGGCCGAACCCAAGACTTCTATGTATACCACTAGGCAGGCTATGCGACCTTAATACACTGCGAACTAAGTTACGGTCAATTCTTCGTAACTCCTTCAGTCGACTGCAGGCTACCGAGAAGACTAGTTCTTTGGTATGTAAACCGCGAACGTTGTTTTCGACAATGTAACACTGGTTTTTTTTAATGTGACTAAGAAAACGATGTCATTATATTATATATGTGCGCCCTTTGTCAAGGTAATTTGAAGTTTATTTCAGGTAAGTGTTGTAACTTTATTTCGTATTAGATAAAAACGGTACTGTCGTAAATGTGTACAATTGAGTGCTGCCAGATACTAGGCATCTGAGATCGAAGAATCGATTTCTTGTGCCAAAAAGATCGATTGTTTTCAATCGATAAGTATATAGTAATGAGTCGATTCAGTGAATCGATATTTCATTCTAGAAAATCGAGACAGATTTCATAAGAGCTATAAAATTATTTACAATTATACAATTGTACTGTACTTTGTACGAATCTGAAAGCAAATCGAAAAAAGATCGATTTTTGAGAAATCGATCATTTAGTCCTCGATTTTTTGTGGATTGATTCATCAGATTTCGATTCGAATCAATTTAAAAATCGATCTTTTTCGGAAAAAATCGACATCCCTACCAGATACCCAGCCCAGCTAACGCCCGCGCGATCTACATCAGTAGGACAGTTTTTGCTCTGAATCTCTGGTAATATAAATAGAAGCTTTTGGAACGAAGAGATGTGAAAGACTCACCTGTCATTGTTTTCTTTAGTTGCGTAGTCGATGATAAGCGCGGCACTACCCGGCCTGCTGTGACTTCCAGAATCACGCGAACTGCTCCTAATAGAATAAATTAAAAAACTCATTTAGAATTTTAAATAAACTCTATTACTTTCTTTGCAGTTGTAAAACTACATATTAGGGAAATGGTGATTTTTTCTTCTGTTAAAGAACTCTTGTTCATCATACAAAAAATCACCATACAGAGTTCTCAGACTCAAAATATTTTCGGCAGGAACAGCGAGTCGTCTTGTGCTACCATCATTTATTTCAACATTTTTTTATATAATAAGGGATGGAATGAAAAGAGAAAATGAATGTTGTGGCTCACAAGTACATATCTACATCCATCTTCAATCCATCTCCAGTCTGAAGGGTCTTCGGTTCCCTACGCTCACTATACGAGACACAGTAGCATTAAGCTGCTATTTTACGTTGGTATTCTATGATAGCATGGTCTTTCCCCGATCGAGCCAACTTATTCGTGCTACAACCATAGTGTAGCTGCAGCGTGGCTGTACCACATTTAAATCAATCTATTTTGTCAGACCTCAATAAGTCACCGAATGTGTAATGAATAAAATGAGATCATTCCTTTACGGAAATGATTTGCTATAATCACCATACTTGATAAATGGATTGGTGATCGTAACATGAGAATTCTTGCAACTGCGCTACTGCGCTGATTCCGGTCGCCACTCGCCAGTCTAAACAGTTAACATTTGGCATATATTATATTTTGTGGCTCCATTCTTTAGACATAATTTGCTTACCAAATAAAAGTATAAATCAGTGCAATTACTTACAGTATTAAATACTGTAATATTACATTATTTTACTAGGCAATCCTTTCCTAACTATGAATATCATTAGTGACTCCAACATGCGTGATGTGTGGCGCCAATTTTATATTTATATCCTTGCTCATAAATGTTTATGTCCTTATGGTTGATGTTTTTATCTGGTAAGCAAATCATATCTTCGTATGAAGCTACTTGTATAATGCGTGTAACACACTATGCACATACGGTATCAACAATTCAATGAACTAACACACACCGCGCAGATAATTTATATTTTATCGTTAAGTACCTGTGAGCACCAACATATACCGAAAATAGTGACATTATTATCTGCTCATTCAAATATATCTGCAGATAGAAAGATGGCATAAGATTTTACCTGCAGATAAATACAGGTGGTCGCTGAAAAAAATGTTCTATAGAAATTCTTCACCTTAAAAATAAAAATTTAAATATTAATGCATAAAGTGGATCAAAATCAAAATCCGAATCCTATTCTGACGAGCTATATAGCAAATCTAGAAGCAATATACGGTAACTATTTGTAGATAACACTGTATAAACAATCCGCTCCAAAAAACACGTCTAGTAAGTTTGAAGGATTTATAGTGCATCATTTCGTATATCATCGTATCTGCGTAGTCTGAGACTCGCTTAATAATAATCGTACGTCACATCGGAAAAGATCTTTTGATTATCTATTATATATTTATATATATTATGGTTATGCTGATCTCTTTCGTACGCCACAATATCTCCCGGGAATTTCTTATAGTCCTCTTTAGGACTCTCTCACATGGAACGGAATTGGTTCTGGTAAGTCTAAACGTATGAACGCGAAAAGCTTTAATACGGACGGAGCTGGATTAGATGCGGCTGTATTGAATAATATACCACATGGTATATTTATAATAATCACGTTAAAATACAACCTACTTGCCAAGTTTTTTTTTTTTAGTAAGGATGGCTAGAGCACACAGTCCACCTGATAGTAAGTGGATGCTGCGGCCTATAGACATCTACATTTAACCTCGATTAAGAGTCATAATGCAGATGAGTTGACACTCCTGGGGACTAAGATTGCGTGCCTCGATTCCAGTAAAATGGGTCTCCGGTTCTCTACACTGACCATACGAAATACAGCAATAATAAGCTGCTATTTTACGCCGGTATTCTGTGAGAGAGTGGTCCTTCCCCGGTCGAGCCGACTCATTCATGCTACAAGCATAATATAGCTGCAGCGTGGCTCTACCACGTATAAAAGTGTAGCAACTATGGCAAAATTAGTGGGGATTTTACATTACACAACCGGTATATTACTATTTACAGCAGTGGACTCTTGATAGAATGAATGAATGGATATAACTGTTGCACTGACCTCTTCCGCGGCTGGTCGGCGGGCAGGCAGATGTCCTCGTAGTGGTGGTCGCGCCGCGCCGCCTCCGCGCCGCTGTCGCTGTCCGACTGCTCCGCGCCGTGCACCTCCGCTTTCACTGCAGTCAGAGCAACAAGCGTAGGTACTTTGATAAACCACCGTGGTATGTTCACAACGAGATTTTTAGACGTAAAAATCCTTTTCAACGATTGTGATATGAATATATGACTCGATGAACAGAAAAAGCGACACTAATAAATAAATAAATATTTGACGACAAAAATAAATATAAATTTCATGATTAATAACAAAAAGAAACTGAAACATAAGATCTAATAATTTTGAAATGGCAGCAAAGATTTTATTGAATCATAAGTAGTTAATAAAGTTGCCTCTACTTCTTACTTACCAAACAAAACAAAATAACACAGATACAAACGTTAAGCATATAACACCCTTATTTTTCGTCAGCGGACAAAAGAGACAAACATATACATTTATAGGATTTAGCCTAGGAGAGAATGAGATAGAATACAGTATACAGTTTTTTACGTCTATACTCCATGATGTTAGTGGATATTGATTAAAATGCAAGTGCGTTGTCGCCCCTGAGGACTAGATCGAATGCCTCATTTACAATAAAAAGAGTCTCCTGTTCTCTACATTCATCATACGAAACATATTGTATTTACACATTGAGCTGCTATTTTCCGCTGGTATTCTGTATGAAATTGGTACTTCCACGGTCGAGCCGACCCATTCGTGCGTGCTTGGCCACGTGTGAGAAAGAGTAACCAAGTTAGGGCAAGGTTGAACAAAATATCGTATTTAAGACACAATTTTGACGCTCCAGAATTGATACTTTTTAAATAAAATACAAGTAGTATATTCTCGAAATACAAATAATTCTTACTCGAATGGTTTTTCAAATAGTTTATTTTACAAAATGTGATAAAAACGCTGTCGGTCCTGTTAAATGCATTATCAGAATCAGTATTCAAACGTAAAGAAATAACTTTTATTCAGAAAACTCGACAATTTATTGAAAATATTATTTTTGCAGATTGTATAACATAACATAAATATACCATAAACACTCACGCCTGTCACCCAGAGGGGTAGGCAAAGACTACAGACTTCCATTTGGCAAGATCCTGACACACCTCTCTCGTCTCCTTCACATCCATATACCTACGCATACATGTCTCTCGGTTAAGGGTACTCCTAATTTGGCCCATTTTCAATAAATCGCCAATTTGGTCGATAAATTTTCGCCTAGAACGTTCCTTTCCGACTCTGCCATTCACTTCTACAACATAAATTTTCTTTGTCACTCTTTCCTCATTCATTCTTTCCACATGACCAAACCACCGAAGCATTCCTTTCTTAATCCTGGTCACAACATCATCTTGCAAACCACACTCTTCCCTTGTCACACAATTTCTCACCCTGTCATTCACATTCAGCCCTAACATACTTCTTAACGACCGCATTTCTACTGCGTTCATTTTACTCTCGTGCTTCTTTTCGCAAATTGTATGTGGGCTTACCTCTGACTCGCGCACAGGTAAATCAAGATCTTTGACAACACTCCTAGACCCCTGCCAATGCATAGGTAAAAAAAACTCAGACAATTTGCAAATAAAAATTATCAAAATGGAATTAATTTTGTTATGGTTGATTTTTCTGAAGTAAAGTTATTTCTATACATTTAAATACTGTTCTTATAACTCACTTAACGGGAACCACAGGGTTTTTATTAGATGTTGTATATATATCAAAATAAAACAAAAATTATTTAATACTCGGAAAAACTGATGTTCGATTTTCGTTTTTTTTTTTAAGTGATAACTATATATTTTATAATTATAACCATACATTTTTATTATTTTATAATTATAACCATACATTTTTAACATGGTAGAGCCATGCTGCAGTTATATTATGGTTGTAGCACGGATGGGTCAGTTTGACCGGGGAAGGACCACGCTCTTACAGAATACCAGCGTAAAATAGCAGCTTATTATGTGTTCTATTTCGTATGGTGAGTGTAGAGAACCGGAGACCCATTTTACTGAAAACGAGGCACTCTATTTTAGTCCCCAACGGGTTGTCAACTTCTTCTGCATTATGACTCTTAATCGAGGTGAAATGTAGATGTCTATAGGCCGCAGCATCCACTTACTATCAGGTGGACTGTGTGCTCTAGCCATCCTTACTCAAAAAAAAACTTGGCAAGTAGGTTGTATTTTAACGTGATTATTATAAATATACCATGTGGTATATTATTCAATACAGCCGCATCTAATCCAGTTAATTTAATTAATAGCAGTTTAATGCTGCTATGTTTCGTATGGTGAGTGTATAGAAACGGAAACTCTTTTTACTGAAAACGAGGCATTCCATTTTAATCCTCAGGTTTGATAACTTCTTCTGCATCCACTTACCATCAAGTGAACTGAGTGCTCGTTTGTCACACTTGTGAAAGGCATGCTATTGAATTAGATTCTTAATCAGGTCATTTTTCTTTCTATTCTTTATTTTGTAATAATAAGCAATAATGCTTCAAACTATTCAATGCAATGCAAATTCAACTTATAACTTAAATTATAAAGAGTCCATCAGAGAAAATTTAAAGAAATAAACGTTTTAATTTAGCACCGCAATATATTTATGAAAATTTTATGTTAAAATTAAAAATGTTTAAACATAAAAAGCTTCGTTAAGAAGAAAGGTTTTTAATGTTTTTACTTTAAATACAAGGAACAAACACAAGCTTCTATTGCCAGTTACTAGACTTCACTAAATTAGTAATTAATGAATGCCCCATTCATTAAACAGAAATAGATTGTAAAATTCCTATATATCCAACTTTATTATGACCTTTTCGAATTTGGATTTAACCTAAAATCTTACGTTCTAATAATGTAAGAAAAGCAACTCCAATTAATACCCCAAAAATTAAAATTAATATTCCTAAATTTATTATTATTATATCTTTTAATATCATTTACTACATATATAATCAGATTATATATTTATGATTTCTAAAATCATTACATTTTTTCTGCCAAAATAGTTATTATATATTAATCTTTATAAAATTTCAGGATCAATATGATTTTCAACAAAATCCCAGATTATGGTAAATACTCCATAGCACGGTGGCTAAGCATTGAGATGCAACGCAAAAGGGCCGCAGGTTCGAAAACCGCACGGAAGAATTATTTGTTTTTGTTTGGCCACATAATTGTTTCGAGTCTGAATATTTATCCCTGTGCATGTGCCTCTACAATATAAGAGAATATTTTAGTGTGGTAATGTTTTATACAAAAATAGAAAAAAAAGATTGGCCATCAACAAGTTTAAAAATTTTATTAAAGAAAAACGTTGCGACAAAGATTATTATAATATTAAAGAATACATCTATGAAAATAACCCCTGGCAATGGAAATAAAGTAATTGCTACCATCCTGGTTCTATTAAGATTCATATAAATAATTGTACAAAATTATTGTAAAATTTTATATGTCTAAAAAGTAATCCCGCTGGGTTTCTAGCTGGACAGTAGTATTTTTCAGTGAATGAGAGGTAGATACGAAGATAACGAAGAACCATTGGTAAATAAAAAAATTACTTTCAATAAGTATTATTTTATCTTATCATAATTTTATTACGTGTCACATTATTTGTCCGCGATGGACTCCTAAACTACTTAACCGAATCAAATTTGCACACCGTGTGCAGTTTGGTCCAACTTGAGAGATGGGAAAGTTTTTTTGCCCATGAATGATTCACAATTTTTTTTGCGAATTTAAGTGTTTTTAATAAGACATGACAAATTATCGTCGAAAAGGGCAGAACAACGTCTGCCTGGCATGCTAGCGTATTATATATTAAAGATAAATTAGTATGCTTCGAGGGTATAAAGAATCTCTGATATTTGTATACGCAGATACTCGTGAAAAGCATAATCCTGTCCTTGCTGCCATGCAGTCGGATAAAAGGAGTCTCCTAAATTTCACTGACCAGTCATGGTGGGCGCCTCCTGACCCTCGGCGGGCGCCCTGGGGCCGGGTGAGCGCGCCTGGAACAGGTCGCGCACGCGCTGGTACAGCGCCGCGGGCGCCGCACCGCCGCCGCAGCTGCCGCCCCCGTGCAGGAACCACCCGCCAGACTGCGATGTCTCCACTTCAGACGCCGAGCATACTGCTAGAATTTTCCAAGTGGAAGTCACTTATGCTTTTTATACGCCTAAGTTATGTTAGTGGATTTAAGTTAATTATAGGAAAAGGTATGCTATATTAGTTACAATTAGTATAATACGCTAGGTACGCTTTTACAACAAAATCGCAGAAAAAGAAAAATTTTATTAAAAAAAATTATAGGGGTATAAAGTGTAATGGTGTTCTATAATAAAGAAAAACATTAATACAGATAACCTCTGAGAATGAGGTGATCGCCAACATGTTAATCTCTTATAATTATAATTATACATATAAAACTTGTACAAAATTATTGTGAAGTTATATTTATATCTAAAACAATCTCGCTGGGTTTCTAGCTGGCTCTTCATTTCTTCACATTGTTCTGGAAAAAATGTGTCCGAACCAGTGGTAAATAAAAAAATTGACTTGCAATAGGTATTGTAAAATATTCTATTATTGAATAAAAATATTATATTCTTTTCTAAAAAAGTAGTGATAGAAAACACGGCTTCAGAACTATAGTGAAATATTCATTCTTTCATTAAGACCTATCGAAAGTTAATTACTTAATATACGGAGCCTTAATATAGAATGCCATACTTGGCAGACAGGTTGGCAAATATTACGAAGACTGGTTTGTATCCGTCTATCGCCTCTCATGACACCTGCGAGACGATATGGAGTAGTGGTGTGTGAGAAATCCCGCACTTTTACAGGCTGATGAAGAAGATTAAGTGTTAGTTTATTTGATAGAATTCATGAAGGTTACATATAATGAGAATAAGTTCGACAGCAAAAAAAATTACAAAAGAGAATGACTAATTAAATTTCAACGTACAAATAAATTCGTAAAAAAAATACTAAAATGACCGCGGGTTTGTTCCATTTTTGAATTTATGATGAATAATGAAAAATCTTTAACAGGCTGGCAAATTTACACGTTCTGATCGAGTTTGTGCTGATTATCTATGATTAGGACGCGGATGCTAATAAATTATAAGGTCGTTTTAGCTATCTATGGTTTTTTATCGTGTAGATTTTTTTCGACTGTCCGTAATAACAAAGTTCGTTCGATTTTCCAAAAAAATTTGCTCATCGCGTTTTCTGTATATCAGTACAGTGGCAATCAAAGCGGGTTTTGAAAAAAAAGATCAATAATAAATACAAGGAGAATGTAAATTAATGCTAAAGTACTACGCAAACTAGGTCGCCCCTACTTAGATTTTTTCTTGTTTTCTTAATTATTTACAATGTGCAATGTTATACATTACACATCTCTAAAGTATTATCCTTTAAGCTGCTCCTAGTTGCCACGGAATTCAATTTTTAAATAATTATTAAACACTTTCTCGAATACTCATATTACGTAGTACTAAATTTATACATACTGTATGACAAAATGGTATTTAATTATACATCTTTGGGATGACATAACAAGTGAACTCGTACTTGCATTTACAAAGTAACGGTAGAAATAGAGAAACCTCCATCGAATATCAACTAAACACGAAAATATAAAAATCAAAGCAACGCTATGGCACACACTTCAAAAAGCCATGATATAAATCATAATTTATAAACTGAATGTCCCATTTCAATCAATCCCATCAATCAATCAATCAATGTATCCCATCTTTAAATAATTCATAAATATTATATAGAAAACTAGCGATACGCCCCAGTTTCGCATGAGTGATTTTTATATTTCGACAACAGCGCCACCTACCAGGTACCAACTTAAATCACACACTCAAAATTTCAACAAAATTGGTCCAGCCGTTAGAAGGAGTTCAGTCACATACACAAGGACAGAAGAACTTTATATAAAGATTATCACAATGTTCTTTACGGGGTTTAGGGTTTACAAAGTACTTTGTATATAACAAGGTAATCAGTGATGTCCGATCACTGCAAAGTGTTCAGTGCAACTAATGGGTATATACAAAAATATTCTGTGCTGGGAATTAAGCAATAAACAAATCCGATATTTCATGTTTCCTACAACTTCCTGTGATTGTTTCCGTTATTTCGCACCTCATTTGCTGCGGTTAAGTTCGCGGTTTGCACCACGAGTATTAATGGCGTATTAATAAGCTAATATATATGCAAAGAATATGTACACAAAAAGAAATAAACCTAGAAATAGAAATATTTTATGTATACTACAGCAAAAATGGGTCAACTCTAACAGAATATCAGCCTAAAATATGTAGCAGTATAATGTTGCTGCGTTTCGTTTGTTAAGTGTAAATAACCGAAAAATCTTTTCAACAGAATAAGGGGATATCTGTCTCAGATCTCCAGGGTGACAACGCATTTGTCTTTTGATTCTTGAACGAGGGCAAATATATAAAGTGCCTGTGGTCCTCCGAATCCATATAGCATATAGCGGACTACGAGTATGTGATCAAATTTCGTCCTATAACTTTTTACGGGCCATCTTTGGGATATTCCATAAAATCTAATGGCTCTCAATTATCGCGATATAGCCATCTCGTTATCGCCAGGTCTTAAATACGCAAACTAACGTCGGAAAGTAGAGTCAGAGGTGCGAAACGTCTAGTACTGCAAAAATGCCGAAATCATCCTTACAATGTGAAAGACCCATTTACATAAGAGGACTTTTGAGCTGATAACGGAGAAGGACTACGTGCTGGATTATCACCCATATATGTGTAGAAATATAAAAAACATTTTTAACCTACCTGAACTTTCTTCCCCAGAAGACGTATGGTGTATAATACTAGTAGAAGTTCCTCTCTGCATTGGGTTCACGTATAGTCCATCGGCTGGTCCAGATCGGTTGGAGCCGACGGAGCCCGCGGTAGAAGGCAGGGAGCCCCGGCGTTCTTGAATAGAAATGCGTCTCTCGCGCTCGGGCGCGTGCAGGAAGAAGGGGGATCGATCGCCATTGCTATTAACGCAATTAGGTAGCGCGCACTGGAATTTAAAAAAAAAGTATATTTAAAAAATGTAGTTAAAAGTAGATGTTTTACACCAGAAAACCGTAAAATAAAACTCATTTCTTTGTATTGGATTATGTGAATGTTCTATAATAAGGCAATCATTAAAATAATCAACTTAAATGCAGATATTACTTGGTAGAACCACGGATGGGTCGAATTGAAAGGGAATGGATTAATTCGTACAGCATGCCAATGTAGTGGCAGAACAATGCTGCTGTGTTTCGTACGCTTAGGGACGAAAGTTGGGGATATTTTTTAATGGTTTCACGGCATTCCATCTGAGACCTTAAATATACTAACGCATGGGTATTTTGATTCTTTATCTGCGATAGATGTAGGTGTCTATGGGTCACCACTTCTATTTACCATCAAGTTACCCCGTACGCTCATTTGTTACCTTCACCTCACCTACGTATAAAATGACTGTTGACGTATAATAAGCCTTCACCTAAGTTTCTAGGATTTTGTTATTAACGGAGTAACGGATATTACTATTATAATATGTATATATAAATATAAAATGTTATTACAACCCCGATCAACCACTGCTTTCTTAAATTCGCGTTCCTATTTAGAAGTGAAGATATGTGTAAAAGGAATTTTTTAGTCTTGTCCCATTTTGTTCTAGGACTTATAGGTCCAATTTTTTGTGGGTCTTTAGAAAACAATTGGGTTTGTGATTGTGTAAGCAATAAGTTAGCTCCCCTGTCATTTCTATCACAATTTTCCATTTGTTACCAAATTTACGACTAAATTAAGAGAGAAAAATAACACGGTAAGATGAAAATAAGACGAGCTTGCTGTACTTTAGACCATGCCTACCCTCACGGGGATTACAGTCGTGACGCTGTGTACACATTTTTCTGGTGTAAGGAAGATAATATTTATTTATTTATTTATTTTATTCTTTATTGCATCCTTAAACAAAAGAATACAAAGGGCGGACTTAATGCCTTGAGGCATTCTCTACCAGTCAACCCATGGAGTGGTGAGAATTTGATGTAGGTGTGGCAATAAGAGAACACTATACAAATGATAATTAACTACATAATATATACAAGCTACTAATAAATAAACTATACATATATGATCTATCCTTACATATATACAAATATATAAATAAATTAATATACATACAAGTATATATTTATATATATATATATATATATACTTGTATATATATTAATTTATTTATATATTTGTATATAGTATAGTAATATATATAATATGTAAAACTTGAAAACAAAATACAATTTATCCAACTTACTCTTGCGTCCCCAGGCGAGCACGCGCATGCGTGGATCGCTTTGTACGTAGAGAGCTGTTTGTTGTCTGCGCACGTTGCCCCAGCGGCCACAAGCACATTCAGGCACTGGGAAACAACGTGTTATATTACTTAAGAGTAAATAGTAAAACTCATACACGCACCACGTCATAGTAGAGACGATAAAAACCATCAAACACGGTAATAAAGAACACCAGTGTAACACAGTAGAAGTTTCGAATAGTGAGGGACACCCGTCCCTATACGAAGCACAGATTTTGCACACATCGAATGCGAAACGTACTTAGATGTAGTGTTCTATTGTCATCAAATCAAAAAAATGTGATCCACTCAAATCACTTCCACCATCTTTATATTGCAATTATATGTATATCTAATAAAAAAAGTACATCAATAACAAGATTTCAATTAATACTTCTGACGTACATAGTTATAAGATTATTTATTCCATTATTATTAAAAAAAATTGAAAATAATTTCACATAGGCGGCAGTTGTTCGGTATGGTTGTGAACAAGATATCTTTCGAAAAACTAAAGTTATCACTTTGATTTTTTAAATTAACGTTTGATTGATTAAAACTACTTTTACGGATATTATCGCGTTTATTTTACTTTTAATTACTTTTATTTTTAATTCCCGACGTTTCGGGCGCTTTCCAGCACCCATGATCACGGGGGACTGAGATGACTGACGTCCCGATGTCATTGTTAAACCCGGAGTACCTTCAGCTTTTTTAATTATTTTTTATGGTCCGATCTATGAAAAATGAACTGACTATGTCCTGAGGTCTTGCAGTGGTATGCTTGGGTTTAGTTTTAATTTTATTGATTATAGGATCCCAAGTAGGTAGTACCCAGCCTCCTTCTCTATTGAAATTAGGATGTTTTTTAATTTCAATAGCTTCACGTATCATCCTTGGTAGGAATCGGTGTTCTTTCGCGAGGATTTGTGGTCTATCAAATCTGATGTAATAGTTGGGGCCATTGAGTTATACAACACTAGAGGAGCAAACCACATTACCGCGCGTCGAAAAAAGTGTAACCACTATCCAAACGCGACGACGTAGCTTTGAAACTAATACCAATTTTAAGTAAACATATATCTATCTCACTTACACAAGTTGCGAAAACAATATCGTCGTCGTAAGATTAGATAAAGATAGACACACAAACATGCAATGGCGAGTTGGTGTTGCTTATTATATGAAATTTTACCTAAAATACGCAATAAAAATGAGTTTTTTTTAACCTGCAGTTAATTGTTTTCATATTAAAAAGTATATTTTATTTTAAAATCTTTATTACGTCCCCTTAGAAAAAAAAGGGATACAAAGCTTATCAGATGATGATATAAGTAAACATAATGATGAAATAAAACGTATTTTTATGGTTCTATTAAATCAAACAATATTAAATAGGTATCTAATAAAATATAATTAATATAAAATTTATATGAAATTATAAATAATATAAAATTATTAATATAAAATAGGTAATAAAATATATTTAATAGATAATTCATGAATAAACTAAAATAAGAATAATTAATTATTTTGTATGAAAGTTAAAACGTAATTTTTATTATAATTTCCAAAATATTTAAAATCAGAGGTAACAAATTAACTTACTCCATAAATTATATAGTCTCCCATTAATGTAGGATAATCACAAATGCGGAAAAGTGGCAACATTGAACCTAAATGGCAATATTCGATAATTTTATTTAATTATTTGAGGTTTTTTACGTTTATATGAAAACAGGAACTAAAAATTAAGTGTTGAAAGTGATGCCGCTTGATTTATTACGTTTTTGTGACCTTGAATAGCATTCTTTCACTACACATTTACCCATTTTTGTCGCGGCTCAACTCTGTCGGTGTCACATTGAACAATGAACTGACTATAGCTCGGCATATGGCTGTGGCCATATGTGCAGAGGCAACGCTTTGGCGCGGTTATTACTGATCTAGGGTTATATAAATCAATGGTTGGGGCCGTCTAGGATATGATCGCAAACTGCAGACTTCCCGGAACGGACGAACGGACGAACGGACGCCCGAAACGTCGGGAATTAAAAATAAAAGTAATTAAAAGTAAAATAAACGCGATAATATCCGTAAAAGTAGTTTTAATCAATGTGTAGTGTTCGCGTAAATATAAGAAATCATAACGTTAGATTTTAATCCTTAGGAACCCTTTTGAATTTCATAATTTTTTTATTTCATTAATTATGTGAAAATTTTTTTTGGTAACAAAATACGAATCACCGGTATCAAGTAGTCCAAAACAAATACGTGTTAATTTAACAGAAACGATTTTTTGTAGCTTTAAACGAAATACGTGTTTCGCTAGTTCATAAAAAGTAAATAGATTATGATTTATTAAATTTACACGAACACTACCATTGAACTAAACTATATTTACGGATTTTATCGCGTTTAATCAACTATTTTAACTTAGTTTTTAATTCTTGACGTTTCGGGTGCTTTGCAGCACCCATGGTCACGAGGGGGGGACTGAGATGTTTGACGTCCCAAAGTCATAGTTATTCCGGCTACCTTCAGTTTTTGAATATTAATTTTTGGTCCGATTTACACAAAACGAGCTTACAGTATCATGAAGTCTTGCAGTAGTATGCTTGGGTTTGGGTTTAATTGTGTTAATTATAGGATATCAAGCAGATGGTAACACCCATCCATCTTTTCTATTGAAATTAGTCAGCTATATGAACATACACATTGAATAAAACTATATTTATATGAACATATAGCTGACGTGAAGCACCGACGCTCCGGGAAATCTGCAGTCTGCGAACATGTTCAAGATCGGCCCCACCATTACATTACATTTGATAAACCATAAATCCTCGCAAAAGAACACCGATTCCTACCAAGGATGATACGCGAGGCTAAAAATTAATTAGAAATTCTTATAAAAAATACGGTACCTCTCGTGTTCACCTTTCGTTACAAATGTAAATATAATGATCAATACCGACTCCTACCTACCAAGGATGGCTACACGAGGCTATTGAAATTAAAAAAAAACATCCTCATTTCAAAAGAGAAGATGGATGGGTGCTGCCATCTGCTTGCGATTCTATAGATAACACAATTAAACCCAAACCCAAGCATACCACTGCAAGACTTCATGATACTGTAAGCTCGTCGTAAGGTAAGGTAAGGTAAGTTAAGGTAAGGTTACAGCTTATGTACGTCCCACTGCTGGGCACAGGCCTCCCCTCATAACTGAAAGGGTTTTAGGGCAAGGAAGTGTCCGCCACGCTGCCCCAATGCGTGTTGGCGAACTTCACATGTCTTCGAAATTATTTTTTTTCTTATTCCTCAGACATGCAGGTTTCCTCACGATGTTTTCCTTCACCGCCGAGCACGTGGTAAATCAGCACTTATAATTGCAATTAACAACTTCATTGGTGCCGGCGGGGATCGAACCCGGGTTACTCGCATTCTGTTATATATACAGCAAGCGTTAACCATCTGAGGTACCACGGCTCTTCGGACGGTAAGCTCGTCGTAATCAGACCAAAAATTTATATTCAAAAACTGAAGGTAGCCGGACTAACTACAATGGGACGTCAAACATCAGTCCCCCCCACCGTGACCATGGGTAAAAACTAAGTTAAAAAATTTGATTATACGCGATAAAATCCGTAAATGTAGTTTTATTCAAAGTAAATTAATTATTCAAAACTCGTGAGCGTTCGAGGTGTGCACTTTTGGATTTTACAAATATTTTAGAGTTCATATTACATGTACTCGTATAGTGTGGTTCATACTTTGTTGTATTTGTCTTTTATATTATTACTTTTTGTATTGTGCACTGTATGCTTTAACTGGAGTAAATGTGTTTTTATTATGGAAAAAGAGGCTAACGATTATTGCCATCAGGCAAGTGATCACTGTCAACCATGAATATCTGCTACACAAAGGGAAAAAAATGCATTGCGTATTGCCGGCCTTTTAGAAATGAGAAGGCTCTTTTCTTGAAAGTCCTTTATCTAAGTCATTTATTTCGTTCCTTCTTTTCACCAGTAACTAAGTATTTAATCTTAGATCGCAGCGGAAATACAGCATCTGCATTTGGTTAATTTATCGAGAAGGTAAGGTGAAAGTGTGCCAAGGTGTCTATAGACCGAAGTATCCACATACCATCGGGTAGACTGTGTCCGGTCTGCCACCATTACTTCTAATAAAAATCGCACAATATTTCCTAACGCTTTTACAGTTCACTCTTACCTATCACCCGAACAATCACACTGATATCGGGCCATTACAGAGTAACAGCCAAATATCAAAAGACCTCATCAGTTTCTAAATTATGATATCTATCTTCTAGTCTCACAATTGTAGCGTTGAAAAATATTTGAGCAATATTGTTTGTTACATCGAATGATGGTGAAATACTCACTGACTTGAAATATCATTCGGGCTTTGGTTTTGTTAAAATTATTTCTAGGTATTCTTTTCAAACTTTTGTTTAAATATAGATCTCCCCAATCGATTTAAAATATTGATATTGTGACTATAATTTCAACATTATTTTCATCGTTTGCAATGTATAAACAATCACATCTATTTCATCCGATTAACAATAAATCATAACGTATTTCTTACGTCACGTACATAACTTACCAGCTATTTCACGCAACGACAGTAAAATTCAAGTAAGAATTTACTCATCTTGTGGGGAACGAGGTAATGTCCTCCAGACCGAATTTCGGTTACGGCGGCCAGTCTCAACGAAGACTAGCCATCGGCGCAGGACGGGATTATAGTGTCCAAGTTCGCAAGCACGGGAGCACTCTCTATCCCCTCACTCTCATGGTCGCGATGGAACGGTAAACCGACACAACCCGCCCAATACTATAAAAGTTATCAATCCTAAGGTGACTGAATTTATCAAACAACAAAGGTGTTTCTAATTGTCCTGTTTATTCTAATCTAACTACGTGGTAGGACTGTTTTTCTGCCTGGCTAGGACCACTCTCTTACCTATTTGGAACGCTAAATCGCAGTGCTACGATTTGGCGTTCCAAATATCGTCCGGTCTGAAAGCTTTAAAGAGC